ATAAACCAGAACTAATTCCCTCTCAAGTTATCGTATAAACAAGGTGAACAGGCCGTTGTACGTACAAACTGACCAATTCTATAATAGAATTGTCCCCACAAAGGGCTATAACTAAGTCAAAATTAATGTCTGATTTATGAGCCTTAGAAGGTGATTTTCTAATATGATCATAAAGCCATGTATCAAGTTTCAAGCGAACACTACTGCAACAGTATTTTCAAAGTTAAATGTTGCATGTTAAACTTTAACCAGAAATTTGTCTTTTTAAAAGAAAAATCATAGTGTAATCTGATTGGTTAATTATCTCGTGCGCACGACTTAGTTACTAGTATCTCGTTCCGACGACTTAGTAATTCATGGCCACGACATAGTATCTCGTTCCCACGACTTAACTATCTCGTGGTCACGACTTAGTAACTCGTGGCCACTACATAGTATCTCGTGGCCACGACATAGTATCTCGTGGCCACGACGTACTTATCTCGTGACCACGACTTATTAACTCGTGGCCACGACATAGTATCTCGTTCCCACGACTTAACTATCTCGTGGCCACGACTTAGTAACTCGTGGTCACGACATAGTATCTCGTGGCCACGACATAGTATCTCGTGGCCACGACTTACTTATCTCGTGACCACGACTTAGTAACTCGTGGCCACGATATATATTCTTGTTCCCACGACTTAACTATCTCGTGGCCACGACTTAGTAACTCGTGGTCACGACATAGTACTCGTGCGCACGAGATAAATAAAAACACACATGTCACCTTTGTGCCACCGTATATTCTTCCTATTTTCTGTAATTGCTTTTTTGTGTGTGTGGCGGGGAGAGATAAAATTATACTTTCCACATTTCCGTGTTAACCTGATGTTTGTTGTGTCTAAAACACACATACAACCATCATGTGAAGATACGTACAAGTCCAAAACCAACCATATTGTAAACTGTGCAATATTCATGGATAAAGTTTTAAGTGGCGTGTATACGCCAGTTAGTCTGTCACGTTTCTTTATACTAATGGTATTTTTGTAACATTATTAGAAGATGTTTGTCAATAATTATATTCTATTATTTACTCAGACTTTAATTCATATTGTGTTGATAAAAGTTGATAAAAGTGGAACTTGTTGTTATATACATGTTGGTAAAAATATTTAAGTGTTTGATTTGACAAGAAACATAGTCAGCCCAACTTTTGTTGTTGTTTATTTTTATTTTATTTCTCGATAAGTGTTTAAATTTAAAGCAAAATAAATAATAAAAAATGGGGCCGGGTTGACCAGAATTACCATTGGTTTGGGGGCCGGATTGACCAATTTGGGGCTGGGCTAACTTAGGGCTGGGGTGACTTGGGACCGGGTTGACTTGTACCGCCCTCAAATGTCCCACACGTGAAGTATATGATCTTTTTATTCACACGGATGAGAAGAATATGATTTTTGAGAAGATATGTTCAAACAGGTGGGATACAATACAAAATGCATTTCCATGAGTTGTTTTAAAAAGATGTATTTTTGTCAGTTAAATGATTGATCGTTCATATAAATAGATGATAGAAAGTTAAGAGACAAAATAAAATCGCCAAACCATATGCAAAACTTTAAGGGTCAATGACGAAATTTATTTTCTGGTTCTATCTAGAGAACCTTTCATAGGGGAAAATCTAGGACATCTGTACTGATAATATTTTATATTTTAAGATGTCGAGTCCTCCAATTGATTACACGAATAAGTCCTCATATCCAATGTATGACGTGAAGTTGTGCAAAAAGTGTAAGTCCTCGAATTGACTTTTAGTAAAAGTCCTCATAACGATATTTGATTTGGAATTGTGTAAAATATGCAAATTGAGGTCCTCATTTGGTGGTCCTCAGAAGAATATCAAAACGTGACAGGTCCTCATTTAGTTTTCCTACTAACCTATGAGGTGTATGTAGAATTTCTTTAGCATAGCCTGTTCATATCGGATATAAATTCCACTCTATGTCAATTCAATCTTCTCAGACCACATTTAGATAGGGTCCTCGAAAAGCGGGTATAAATCATAGTCCTCTAATATTTCTTTGTACAAGTATGTGTGTGTGTGTGTGTGTGTGTGTGTGTGTGTGTGTGTGTGTGTGTGTGTGTGTTGTGTGTGTGTGTGTGTGTTGTTTTTGTTTTTTTTTTGTTTTTGGTTTGTTTGTTTTTTTCAGTGTATCGCAAAATATGTGTTTTGCAATATTGGTTGCCTGTATCACAATACTAGTATATCGCAAAACAGGTTTCACCATATCGTTACACCCTAAAGCTACGGTCTCACCTACATCCCGGCAGAGCCCCGGTAGACGTCCAGGATGATTCGGGAATGACCGGGGTACGACCGGGAACGTCGGGGATGATCTGGGAACATCCAGCATTCGACCCCGGATGGAATAGAATATCTAATATCACCGGGATCGTCCGGGGTGATCCTGGAAGGTATAGCTTTGCCGGCTTCATCCTTAACTTTGCCGGGAACGACCGGGAATACACTGAGGAAGCACCGTAGCTCTGTGGCACCAACCGGTGATGATCCAGGGTATGACATAGCCGGTAGAGGTACGGCATGAACGTCATCATTTTCAATCCACCGGGGTTCTACCTTGACTTTGCCGGGATCGTTCTGGGCTCTGCCTGGATCGACCGGGGCTCTGCCTGGGTCAACCGGGGCTCTGTCGGCTTCATCCGGGAACGACCGGGGAAGCACCGGCATGAACCGTAGCTTCACAAGGGCTCTGCCTGGATGGTCCGGGCGCATCCTAGGTGTAAGTTGGGAATTACCGTAGTGCTGCCGGGGTAAGTGTGACCTCAACAATAATTTCACCCCGGATCGTCCCGGATCATCCAAGTAACTAACCGGGGTGGTCCTGGGCTTTGCGGGGAGTAAGTGAGACCGCAGCTTTAGGATTCAATATTTTATGACACGTCATGTGCCCGTGAACAGACCATGTCGACGCCATAACTCGTAAAGTTATACTCACGCTTTAAACATTTTCTGTTCGTCTGTAGATCCATACATGCCCAGCAGACATTAATTGAGCCGTGTCATGACAAAACCAACATAATGGGTTTGCGACCAGCATGGATCCAGACCAGCCTGCGCATCCGCGCAGTCTGATCAGGATCCATGCTGTTCGCTATCTGTTTCTCTACTTATAATAGGGTTAGTAAGCGACCAGCCTGAATCCTGATCAGGCTGGTCTGGATCCATGCTGGTCGCAAACCCATTATGTTGGTTTTGTCATGACACGGCTCAATTAAAGAGACTCCTCGGAGGTTGTTTTACATGACGGGACTGAAAATATCTTTTAAAGGTTCATGTTCAATTTGTTGCAAATCTTGACCAATGTCATTGTGCAAAATTTCAGATTGTTTGCTCACTTTTTTTTGCATAATAAATTATTTAAGTCATGAAAATTGATACAAAAGTGCAACGCTTTTCACTTCGAATAGCACAAAAATGCAATTTTCAATTTTCTGAGTATGTTTCTCAATTACCTTTTTTTATATCTTTTTGTTTTTTTTTACCCCCCCTTGGGGTTTTTGTAAAAAAATCGAATGATTTTGTATATATTTTAAAGCTTTTTTGGCATCAGTTTGGGGTTAAGGGGTATCATAAAAGTATATACAAATTTTAAATTTTTTAAATAAAAGATTTAAAAGCAAAAAAAAAAGTATCTTTTAAAAAATATACTTGACCGAAGTAAAACTTGCACATGTTAGTTCTTAGTGTTCAAAGCAAAGTCATTCTGTAAATGTTAGCATAGGTTGCCCAAAAATGGGCAAAAAAATTTTTTGGGAGGGGGTTTTTTACTTTTTGGGAAAAAAGGGAAAACTTTTTTAAAATGTATGTGTCGAGTTTTGGATTAAATTGAACTCACCATTTATGTAGTTTAAAGGCCCAAATATTTTTTTTTAAATTCCCCTTGGTTTTAAAATGTTACTATTCTAATGTACTAATATAATGTCTCGTTTTTCGACTCTGCCATTGTGTCATGAGACAGGCATAATTCTGGAGAAGTATTTTTAAAAGCGGTGATCGATTGCATTTTTACATATAAAGTTGTATACAATCGATTTGGTACATGTAATTTATGCCAACTGTTGAAAGCTATCAAGAAGAAATATTGTAAAGTTCTTATATCATATTGAGTGCAGCCGTAATCATGGAAGGTCGTGTCCTTTTATTGCAGTACATAACAATTTACAAAGAAAAATTAGAAAATTATAGTTTTATGATTCATTATAAACTTCATCTGATTTTCCCCCAAACCATAAATATAAAAGCCAGTCTAACGTAATACATTATGTTCCCAGTGATTTGACGGAATCAATGCTAAAATGGTCTTTATTCATTAATGATTTTTTTTACTTTACCCCGTAAATTTTACAAGTCAATTTTAATATCTTTATATAAACTGCGTCTTCCTTTACATTGATTTCATACGCACCTGCAGGAATATGCGATTTATTCATTTAGTGGTGAGAACCAATCAATCAATTAAAGGGAAATCACTGTGATGAGTTAACATATCAATCTCATATTAGTGGCCTCCCTTCACCTTTTCATTACTTGCTATGATGCTAGTATGAGTCAGAGGGACTTCACTTAGGTTGTTTTGACATGACGGAACTGGAAACACTTTTTCCGAGATTTGTTTACCATTTGATATACTAGTAGTCTTGAACAATTACTTGTAAGCAAATTTTCAAACCATTGCCCCGTTTTTACCAGAATAATTGTACAAAATCACAAAAAAATATTAAAAGCGTTGCAGCGCTTTTCCCTCAGTCAAGCTAAAAATTGCACAATAACCCGATATTCACTTTAATTCTTAGAACATATTTCTTTAATATCCTTTGCAGATTTTGTCCATGCTTGATCAATATAATGAATTAAAATTTTATGTTCCTCAGTGGAGTTTCTTCAATAAATTAATAGTTATATGAAGAACAGACTATTAAATTCGTTCAATGAGAAAAATGCACATTTTATTGAATAATTTTACAACATACATTTATGATAAAAAGAAGAATCGTGAACGACGATAGCGTAGCATAAACAGATTTAAATTTACGCAAAATTGGCAAGATATTTATAACATGATCTGCAAAACATAACAAAACTTGCTATTGAAAAAAAACCATTTAAAGTGCAGTTTTGTTTGCCCTTCTAAACAATTCATTAATATGCTCACTGCACAGACCGCTTCAAATTATTTTGAAATATCAAATAATTATAGACAAATATCTATCTTTTTGATTCTGTACTCGGAGATATTTAAAAGTACATGCATACTAGTTGTTATTCAAAATTATTTCCGCCTTACTTTCTGTGGGACTGAAGCTCCAAGATATTTCATTTTTGAGCTATATTGCTTATTCACTCGTTTTGCCTTCTGGCCATGTTTCTCGTTTAGTTTCAATGGTGGCACAAAAACACTTGACGATGCTTCGTTGCCGTCCTCATCCACATCGTCAATATCAGTAATATCTAGTGCAGTTTCAACCTTGGTTACACCAAACAACGGATCTGTTATAGAATTTTTATCATTCCCGTGTAGTCCGTTGACAACAGAACCTATTTCAGTATCCTTCTTCAGATCTTTTGTCGAGTCTGAATTTGATTTTTTACCCGATGTCTTTTCACTGCTAGCTAGTTTGTTAAGATTAGCTACACGTTCTATTTCTAAACCAACAGCGTCCGGGTTTGCTTTTAAAAGATGAGTGTCATTGTTTTTATGTTTGACTCCAGCGCTTCTAGAACTTTCAGACTGATATATCATTTCTACTTCATCACCGTCTGAGGAAGATTCTTCAGTATTAAATGCAGACACTTTGCTTTCTTTTACTTCATCATTAGTATTACTCACATCTTTTACTTCAACTTTGTTACCAGTTTTGTTCTCATCGCCTTCATTTAATTCATTAACTCTGTCAGATTGATTTATATCTTCTGCTTTCGGTGTTTTGATTTTCTTGCAATGACTGTCAATTTTATCGTTGTTTACTTTCTTCATATCTACGCTACACTTATCTTTGACATTCGACTTAATATTTTTAGGGTCTTTTAAAGCCAGTTCAGATTTTTCAGAGTTCTTCTTGTCTACAGTTGACTCGTCATTATTTTTTTCTGTATTTTCACTTTTAGTTACAGGTTTCTCTGTTGTTTTAGTGATTTCTTTGAATGCTTGTCCAAACATTATTCTTTTTTTCGACTTGGTTTTCTTTTTTGTGTCCATGGTTTCGTGAGATGTGCTTTTTCCAACATCACTTGCTTTGCTTTGAATTTTAGCTAAGGTTTTTTCAATTTTCATCATCTCTTCAATAAAATTGTCTTTACCATTTAACATTCCAGATTTAGCAACTTCATTTTCTTCCTCGTCTGATGGGTCTGTTTCACTTTCAGTATCAAATTGAAATGATTTCACCGCAGTCATGCTCTTACTGTCATGCATACTGTCTCTTACATCTATTTCTGCTTTTTGCATTCTGAAATCAAGTGCATCTTGATCCAGAGAAGGAGTCATTTTAATAAACATATTTTGCTCGCGCATTTCCATTTCCGGTGATATCTCTACTTCAACCGTTTCCTCCCGGTCTTGCGCACATGCAACACTTCCTATTTCCGGTATTCTAGGTGATGCACCATCGTCATGCGAATCCTCTTCGTATTCAGAAGACGAATATCCTTGATTTACGAAATTTGTATCTTTAACTTTAGTATCTTCTATATTAGATGCTACACAATCCTTTCTGATTTCAAATCCATATCCTCCTTTACCATTTTGTCTCTTCTTGCCCGAAAGTTTTCTATCTTTGTGTAATACCTTCTCTTTTCGTTTATCTACAAGAGTACCGAAAGATGTGGTGTTGTGCTCTTTAAAGAAATTAACTTCCTCCACCTTTTCCACTTTCTTCACGCAGACGAACTTGTGCGTTCCTAGAGCTTGCAATGTTTTTATGTCGGTTTGCTGAGCACTACGTATTCTAAATACATCTTGGTTGTCAGTCCCTGAAATACAAGAACTATTCTTGTTGTGTTTCCTGCACAGAAAAAAGAACTAAAAACTTTTGAACTATATATGAATACGAATGTCTGTCCTACGAAATTACAAGAAATGATCACAAATTGTAATACATGTATTCTTAAGAAAGAATAAAGTTTTGTTTAATTTTCTCGTCTTGAATTTTCATGGAATTTTATTTATTGAATAACAATAGACCCAAGTTACAAATTGTTGAATGTACGTCTTATTTCAAGTATTTAAAGCTTTATTTTTATTGTTGGCGTATTTCAAAGTTATGTAATCAACTATTACAGCATAAAGAAATGACATTACGTATAAACCTACCAAATTTCGTCACGCCATTAACCTCGTTTAAAAATGCACGTACCTTTAAATATCTGCTGCCTCTGGAAATGAGCATCTTGGAAAGATCCGTGCAAGAATATTTCCTCCGCATCAAGATCGGACCGGAAGTCGTCATATGTTACGAAACGATGAAGCTTGAACGAAAGGAGATAATAAATATTTAATAATGTGAATATAATATCTGAATGAATATCATTAAAGTCATAATAGAAAGTAAAAATCTAAAAGAGAACCGGTTTAGTTTGAAGTAGTAACAGTTCTTCATATAAAGAAGAAACGTAGAATCTAATATTTTTATATTTTCCACATGTTATATTACTCGGAGTCATTTGCTAGCTTACATTTTGAAACCAATTTCTTAAAAGGTTATTAAACAACAAATAAACGTTTCCGTCCTGATTTCAGATTGAAATTGGAATAGCCTTCACCAAGTTGCAGTACAGTATGATCATGGAAATAATTCCGCTTTTTAAAAAAAAATCCATTGTCTTTTTTAATTAACAAGCCTTCAGCTTATGACAGTAATGTGTATACTTATATAATATATACATTGTAAATCTATTTCCTGAACTATATATAACAATTAGCTAACAAAATTGCATTAATGACCATACACAGTGCCATGTGTAGAGTGTAGAAGTTGTCCAGTTGATGGTCAGTTGTTCTACTCGGTGTGCTTGAAATAATTCATGGAGAAAGCATCTGTTGTAACCACGTGATAAATAAAGTGCTGGTGTGACAAAAAATCCAAAATCAGTGTCCTCTGTGGCCGAGTGGTTGCGATTGTTGACTTCTATATAATTACGCATTATCACTTTGGGTTCGAATCCCGAGACGCAAATCTACAGTCATACCAAATCTACAGTCATACCAAATCTACAGTCATACCGTAAAAGCTATAAAATCGAAAGTGTAGTTGTGTACTGAAACCCAACGACAACAAAAACCATTAAAACAGAATTTTAACCAAATAAGGTACCTTATAAATTGTCGTCTGTATAAGCCAGATAGGAAAGCAGACGACACAGCAGATTTTGTCCTCGGTGGATTCGTTTAAAGGAGTATATTCCTCCCCATTTGTAACGTACAATTTGGCCCCAACTACTTTACAATCTGTGAGTAGCACACTTTTACACCAACGTTCCACACACACGTTTAGATTGATCTGCAAGTAAGGTGAAATATAAATTTCAAAACTTAACTGCCGTCCGTATTTTAGATATGAATCGAAATAAAAAAAATAAACCGGTATGTTGAAATGAATGAAAATGCGTCATAAGGTTTGTTGCTCCGATAAAATATTAAAAATGATTTTTTTTGTAATAATGTACATGGTCAATGATAATCATTGAAATAAGTTACAATAACAGTAAATGATTTTTCTGCTGTGCTATTAGCATGAGCCTTCGATAATTGACAATATGCCAATTTCTTTAATTTTCAAAAGCATTTCCTTTTATTTACATATCAAATCACTCTTCATATTCCGCAAGCGTATACATATTGGTCTTCTTTATGAAATTCTATTTTTGTTTATAACTCAAGTGTTAATTAACTTTATAAGAATGCTCACAATAACTTGCACGTAATACACGTGTAAAGAAAATTACCTACTTCTACACAAAATCTTCTCTGATTATGGAGAGAGTCCATGCATTTTGTCATTGTTGTATACAGCCTATCCCCTAAACCTGCTTGGTTAGGATCCAGTAATACCAAACATGGAGCTGTAAGTTTTATAAATAACATAGTTATTTAATTGAAAGATGATAATTTGTTTAAACATGACTGGAATGGTAGCAGTTGTGGTACTGGTAGTGGACGGAAGTAGTGCCTAAAGCCCAGTAGTCTGTAATTGAAGTTGTAATCAAAATAGTTAGGTCTTCCGTCATACCCGACCATTTAACGGTCTTCGAGTAGTGTCTATGAGTTATCTTTGGACATTTAAAAATTACTATGTAAATAATAGTATGAGCATTAGAGAAACGTATAATTCATTTATCAGACAAAGACAGTTATTTTCAATCTGTAGGTCAAAATATTCTAACCTCTGACTGGTTTTCCAAAGCGTTTTTCTTTGTATACCAGGGTGACTCCAAAAACAGAGCATCTCTCAGTCAACATTTTACGAATTTTTCTCAGATCATTTATGTTCTCAACGTCTATGTTCCTGAAATAGAGGAAAAAATGTAGGGGACAGTACGTGAATGTGATATTCTGTTGGGGGTTGTATCGCTCCAGTTCATTGTGTTATTTTTTGTGTTGACTTTATGAAACTTCAAGAAGATAATTTGACATCTATATTGATCAAGATTATATTTTGCTCAATGAACATGGTGTATGTTATTTACTTATTTATACAAAAGTCATAGCAGATCGCTAATAACGATTGCAAAATAACAACTTTCTAGCTTTAACACGGGTGCCATTGCATAAGCAAAAATATAAATACTTTAATCCGTCTGAATCCATTGGAGGTTTAATTGTTTAAAGACTCCGATCAATATTTCTGTTTCGATTAATAATAATCTTTGCTAAATATTATAAATGTTTTTATGGACTAATATTCAAATGTTTACGTGCGCTATCAGAAAAAAACGTCCTTGTTCATAATCGCGTTCACCAAATTTAAAACAACATAAAAATCAAAAATACTAAGCTCATGAAATCGTGTTATCGTTTGAAACAAACTATATACCATGATTTTCCATTTTCTGAGATATCTCCAATGGTTGGCGGCATGACATTCTTGCCGTGGAAAAAAACATTGACTTCCTCCGGGTCATAAGTTATCCTACTGTTACTTTCTGTATAAAACAAGTCATTCAACACTCTCGGATTGAACGCAAACTCTTCCCACGGTAATATACTTATACCAGAGTACCCTATATTATATTCTTCAGTTTTGTTTATATTTGTTGCTTTTGCTTCATCCGAACACGTTAGGTTGATTATTTTATCTTCGTCCGTTTGGTTACTGCGTTCTTTGGCCCATTCCGGTATATTCCCGCCAAAAAGAAGTGCATTCAACTTTTCGTCTGTGACTCCAACTGTCGTCTGCGGCTCATCGTCTGCAACTGTGACGCAGAATGGAATATCATCATTCTGTTGAATACACGATGAAGAATTAATGCTCCCTACGTAGCTGTCCTTCATAACTCCTGTGCCAGCCATTCTTGTTCTTGTTTATTGTATTGATGGATTTTGAAAGAAAGAGAATCCTAGAATCTCGTTACCTCGTTCTCGAATAAATCCGTCATTTCGACAAATCCTATTACTGTATAGCCTTTTCAACAGATTCGTCTGGAAATTGCTATTTCATTCAACAATTTAACTTCCGGTTTTTATCTGTACATGTCCTCTCCAGGAATGAGTAACTTAAATGCTGAGTTATTTTTCTTTATTTTTGATCTAGAATATTCGTAGTATATAAATACATTGTAGTAATATAGAAACTAAGTTTATTGTGGTCAACTTTCTCCTACTACATACTATATATATACATGTACTGCTTCCACATTGTTAAGCCTTTTTCCGATTGACCTCTACGTAATCTTTTCAATAGAAGGTTGTTTAACTTATGACGTTGTCCAAATAAATAATCAATGGTATTAAAATCAAAAATATTTGAATGACAAAAAATCATTAGTGCTATACTTAAAAATAAATCAATGCATACATATCTGACCATATTAAAAAGTAATCTTTAAAGTGTGAACTACAGTGTGTACTAACATAGAAACTAAATCAACAAGTATCAATATTATATTGAATATTAAATTTGTATTGTTTTATTTTTGTGATGAAAAGCAACAAATGTTTTCAAAACATCAAAAACAACATTTGAGCCGCGTCATGACAAAACCAACATAATGGGTTTGCGACCAGCATGGATCCAGACCAGCCTGCGCATCCGCCCAGTCAGATCAGGATCCATGCTGTTCGCTTACCAACCTTATTACAAGTAGAGAAACTGAAAGCGAATAGCATGGATCCTGATCAGACTGCGCGGATGCACAGGCTGGTCTGGATCCATGCTGGTCGCAAACCCATTATGTTGGTTTTCTCGTGACACGGCTCATATATAGAAGATACCATCGGACTTGAGAGAATAAAGTTTGTACTCGTCCGAATCAGTTTTTTTTTTTTTAATATTATTAGTTTCTGAATATAAAACGGAAAATTTAATAAAATTTCATTTCAGTCTGATATTCTTGTTGTTGTTGTGGTGGTGGTGGTTGTTGTTGTTGTTTCAGAAAGCGCTGTTACGGAAATGTTTCATCTTCCCTATTCTTTACCAACTTTTCATATATATTTTGTAACTGCCAGCTTCCATGCATGAAACATATATAGCCATTAGATATGAAGAAAATCTTCTAAATAATTTTGCTGAAAGACATGCATGATTATCAAACAATCATGATTCACATTATATAAGACATAACTCAAACGATCAGGCAACTTTAAATATCAATTTTGAAAAAGCAGCGGTGGCCTAATGGTTAAGTTGTCTGCCTTTCAACGCAGGGATCACGGGTTCGAGACCTAATCGGGTCAATACCATGTTTCTTCATACGACAACATTATTGGTTGGTTCCAGGAAGCGGACTCAAGAGGGATGAATATAAGTTGCAAGAACTTGTTTCGCAATCGAGTTTAAACCAAATATAGAATTTGCTCATAATTTACAAATAATCTACGTCCTCCACGCGCTTGGATCAGCTTTTCTTTTTATTTTAATTCTTTAGGCTTTTAGATATGTAATTTATTGACAGGTTTGTGATGGAATTGTACATACTTGAGACTGACATACACAACGAAAAAGCATGCACTTGAATAACTAGCCGATAAATGTTGAAATACTTAGTATCATCATGCATGTTAACTACTAGTATTGTTCGAAATATGGGTCCATGGTCTACCTATTTTACGAAACAGAAAGATCAATCTGAACCAATGTCAGTTTTACATGAAATTCAAATATGTGCCCTCCATTGGTCCGAATATCTATTATTTCACATTGTGTACATTTGTATTCCAACTAACTTTTGGAACCACAAGGCTCATTTTAAATATGTCTAAAATTGAAGAGAGATTCAGTACGTTAACATAGTTCCCTTACATTACAGTGAAACAAGCAGATAGAAAATGTGTTGATGTTTCAAGAAATATGTGTTGTTCAATCAACCAATAAATTAATCGGTCAAGGAAAATATGTGTATAATTGTCAGTCAATCAGTCAGTCAGTCAATCAATCAGGCACTCACTCACTCAATCAATCAATCAATCACTTAATCAGTCAGTCAGTTTTATGTCATAAGACCAATTATCATTTTTTTTAATTAGTCAGTCTAATCATTTTTCCAATGAAAATTAGTGTTATGTCTTATCATATAATAACATAATGGAAGGGTCTCAGTCGGCAAAACTCTATGTCCATAGTTTGCTAAGGGTAAGAAAATAAATTCGCATTTACTTGAGAAGAACAGGTTGCCTGTTCGGCTAGTCAAAAAAATTTGGCGTCTTGAACAGATTCTGTGATTTTTTTTATTTATTCATATATTTATTTATTTTATTTTATTTTTTTTATTTTTTGTCAGAACCTCGCTTTCACCATTACTTTATTTTAACATAAAATTCACTTTCGCTTGTATTATTACCTGTTCAAACGAATTGCATTCACTTATCTTTATAACATGCTACAACAAAGCAGAACAAATAAACAAAAGCAAAAAAAAATAATAATAATAAAACAGGGGGAAAATCAATCGGTCTAGTACGTTTACATTATCGTATCTTACGCTAACAATGAAGTCCTAGTATATATTTATATATATGTACACCGTACGCTTATGCTTAAACACGAATAAATCTCTAATCTTGAAATACAATAACGAATGTACGGTCTAGCTTTCTAACATGTAAGAACTCGTCGGAAATAAATATTGTCGGCGTGGTTTGATAAACTCTGCCTCGTGATAACAATGTATTAATCAATATTATATAGCAAATATACTTTTCATATTTATACGGATTTTTGTCAGACTGTACCTAAGGTATGTTGTTTCATTTGTACAATTATTGCATTGACATACTTTTTCGACTGATTGATAATGTTGTAGTCTTCGCAAATTACTGTTTAACCGTGACACAAGAAGTGTATAACGGAGATAACTTGCCACTCGATAATTAAACGTAAATGATATATCTGCCTGACGTTTTTAAATCATTATTTACAATATACTTTGCTTACGACACACGTGAAATGCTCTATTTTAGTAACTGATCTCTTAAACAATTGATGGACCATTGACTTAGTCATCAATCAGCTGATCGATATATAAATTTTCTATTCATCTTCTGTGTGACGTCATATCAGGTACTCTCCTATGAATATTAATGAGCTAATGGAGAAGGTGTTCCTAATTTACATAAACTGTATAAAGCAATCGTAGTAAATTGTTCAATTTATTTAAAAGAACGTGTTTATAAGTTGCTTCTTTGCGAGTATCTTAAATAAACTCACAATTATACATGGTTTAACGACTATTTGACCTAATAAAGATGCATAATTTGAATAAGACACGCCCCCGTAATTTGACAGTACCAAGTTACGGCAATGTTTATTTATGTTGACCTATGTAATCTGGATGACTGACTATTAAAATAAACATCAGAAAACCTATTTAAATGCCCTGGATTAAAAAAGAGAGTTTTAAATTTAAAAGTTGTTGATGAGAATTGATAAAGGCAGTTTCAGAATATACTTTTATTGAAGATATTTTACTAACTCGTAAGTGAAACTTTTATTATATAACAATTTAAGGTATTTAAAGTAAATCTAATTATTATTTCTAATAAAAAGACGACGACGGTTATATTGTAAAAACTGACGACAACTTGACTCTGTGATTGTATTAAGCATGAATTTATTAGCAATGGTATGCCTTTTTTTCAAATATCTGGAAATACAATTGAAATTTATTACACTTTATAAACATGTCAAACTCTATAGGAGTTTATTGTGTGTCTATTGTAAACTAAATATACGCAGTATTTGACAGTTTGTTGAGATTCCATGATTATTATGTATATTTTTTTTTCATTTTCAAGATCTTTCCGAAGTTGAAATTCATTGTATGAAAATAATATATGATATACGAGTATTTTTTGTTAACGTTGCGATTGTGCTTTGTCAGTATGTACATGTAAATATATATAAGAACTAGATATATGTGGGTAAGATCTAAGTTCATATGATCTAATTGATTGGATCAATCTTTCAACGTAAGTGAATTTTAATTTGTATTGTGTTATCTAGAATATAACTTCCCACAGAAATTTTGAAATTTTACATTTACATTTGATTTGTTATTCATCAGTTCATTTAAAATTAATGCTACTTAATTAAGTGAGCTACTAAAGTCAAAAATATGGAAACCCTGAAGACAATATTTCCTTATTAAACAAGCAGGCCAAATTAATTAATAGTCTTATACAAATGTTCGTGTGATCAAAAATGAATCGCTCAAGATATATTTCTGGGTTTTAAGTGGTTATATACCAAGACAAAACGCATTGACTAATTTGGCTGCGGGTTCGCAATAAAAAAGTTTCCCAGGTTGTGAGCTCGAGCGTTAACAATGACTAAATAAGCTTTTTAAGTTATTAATAATTCAATACACTAGTATAGATAAATAGCAAATTATGTGTCTACTTGACAGTAAATCCTATTACGGTTATATCAACTGAGTTGACTATCTGGCATCCGGCCACCTTTGTCTCTTTCACGGTGTGACCCGGGCTTAAGCCCTTTCAGAAATTATCGCAAATTATAAAGGTAATATATAAAGCTTGGCAAAAGTCCATCATTGTTTTCATTCTCTTTATCTCGGGTTAAATCTACATTTATTTATCACTGTAAAGTTAGACCGACAGAGAAAACATTGTGTTTTTTTCCCTTATCTTTTCTAAAACTGATTGGAAAAGAAATATTTATTCAATAATGGATTTGGCATCATTATATAGTGAGTATGAATATATAGTATTGCATCTACATGCATGTACAAAACAGCAGACGTACGAATGCGAAGGTGGAGTTTTATTAAAATATTTCCGATATTTTTAGACTAATAACATTAATTATTAGTCATCAATGATTTAAGTTGTAAACCATGAGTACGTCTTGTTTACCAATAATATTTTTTATCAATGATAGATTATATATAAATGATTCTTTCAAATTTGAAAGTCAATACGGCGTAGAAATCAAATTACAATATGCTAATGAGGACGCCCATATATTTGAATAACCGCGCCTACAACATGGCGGGTAGCCTAGCAATAACGTAAATATAAACAACTTTCCTTTGATATAACACGTGTATGATTTATCGATTGAAAAGCAATAAATGAAAATTTCAAAACAAAGAGAACGAAATAACTGCGCAGTAAACTCATAATTTAGCTATGAGGGATGGAAATGAAATCGCTTTGAGCACGGACGTTGCTATAATTGATATCAATATAATATTGTTGTCACACTCGTAGAAATATAAATTTGAGCCGTGTCACGACAAAACCAACATAATGGGTTTGCGACCAGCATGGATCCAGACCAGTCTGATCAGGACCCATGCTGTTCGCTATCAGTTTCTCTACTTGTAATAGGGTTGGTAAGCGAACAGCATGGATCCTGATCAGACTGCGCGGATGCGCAGGCTGGTCTGGATCCATGCTGGTCGCAAACCCATTATGTTGGTTTTGTCATGACACGACTCAAAATTAAAACATTCATCTCGACCTCACGGTTTTGTTTGTGAACATATGATGAGATTATAAATGTTTATTAAATGTGAAACTGTAGCAGTGTAAATCAATAAGTTGTTATGAATGTAAATTGATTTTGGACTTCCACTAAAGAGTAATTTAAGAGCTGATTAATTAGAGGATTTTATTTGCAATGGATATAAAATCAATGGATAAAAAAGGCGGAAGTTTTTAATGTAAAAAAATGTTCCAATCTTTTAAAAATCGACAGCTTAGTATTTTATACTGCGTTCATATTGTTCATACTAGTAATCAAAATACGTAAAGAAAACCAAGGAATACGATAAATATTTTAACATTTTTATTTCCAGATAAAATGGCGGCAGGAGGTGACGATTCAGACGCGGCTAAGCGGAACCTGGTGGTTGACGAAGCCGCATTTGAGGAGCAATTTTTAAGATGTCATATCTGCCGAGAAAAATATGATCAAACAGAGAAAGCACCAAAGTCATTGCCTTGTAACCATACTTTCTGCCTCCCTTGCCTAAAACAGGTCAGTCTTGTTTTATAGTCTCACGGTGAATTTGGATAAATCTCATCTTAGTATCTGTATGAATTGTACATCCTATGAACACCAAGACAATGCGCGGTGTAAGCCGAACAGAACAGACCGTATACTTTTGGTATACTTTTACAAATGAATATGAATTGAGTTAATATGACATTCTCACTCTTTAACTACACATATCAACATAGATTTACATGAATGAATCCAGATAAAAACGTAAGGTGTGCCTTTGAAAGATATTCATTATTGTAAATTGTATTTTTATCTTTTTCCAGGTCTTTGACCACAATCCACAGAACGGTAGGCGCGCATATACATTTGCAGACGACACATATGAAGGTGTTCTAAAATGTCCAACTTGCCGAGTAGAAATCTACCTCAGCCGGACTGAGATAAGTGCTTTGCCGAACGACCACAGGGTCATTCAAATGATGGACTTTTTGTCACAGGTTGTAGTCAAATCACAAAACGTGTGCACTAAGCACGAACGTCAGCCGTTAAATTTCTTCTGCAAGTCGTGCACTGTACCAGTCTGTCGAGACTGTACCGTTCTAGATCACAAAGAAGGTGACCACGAAATCGTCGATGTCTCAAAGGCGCTTAATGAAAATGCAGAGGAATTTAATAACGTTGAAAACAGAAGTAAGCAACTGCTTAAAGGCATGAAAACTCGGTCTGATGCACTGGCTAATGCATCTAAACAACTGGACCTTCTGGAAAGGCAGCTTCGAAGTAAAATCAAAGACACCTTCATTGAGTATCGTCTGCTTCTAGAACGAAGACAAGAAGGTCAGATCGCTATATTACATGATATGATAAAGAAACAGAAAGCGTTAATAAATGCAAAATTTGTTGATGTTTGTACACAAGGTTCTCAACTTCAGAAACTTCACGACTCGTTTACAAAAGCACGTCCCTCTAACGACATTACACAGCTATTTACTGTTCACAATGAAATGAAGGAACACGATGAAGAGTTTGCTCGTCAAGCCGAAGCAAACGACGATGAATTGTTTGTAGGATGCGATTTTGAAGTTACAAATGAACCGATGTTTCTATCGGAAATGAGTTGTGTTGGCGAGCTTGTACAGAAACCCGACATGAATTTGAAAAATCCAATCCCAGCACATACACTGCGGTTTTTAGAAAAGGAAGATAGGGACAGGGAGAGAAGGATTAACGAAATACAAGGACCTGACCCTAACGACTGTGACGATATTATGGTCACTCATGTAGAAGAGCCAAGTGTAACTGCCGGACGTCATGGTTCGTCATCGATATCAAGAGAACGTGAGAGAGAGCGTTTGGCGGAAAGAGCTATGCAAAGAGCCGCGAGGCTCAGAGCACGTGATATAATTCAGCGGGAATCTAATTATGAACCAGAACGGGATGATGACGAAACAGAAGAGATGGAACACGATTCAAGCGAGATGATCACTTCGTCCTACTTGTTGAGAATTGCTTCAAGATTAAACGCAAGTTCTGCGAATTTGTCTGAAGCCATTCTAGATTTGTCAACAGACCGAGAAAATACACGGTCACCGGAAGCTGATACACCTAGCTCGACATCATCCGGAATCGGAAGTAGTAGCAGACGTTCGGGTCCATCCCCACCAAGGTCGCGCAGATCGAATCAGAATGTGCGAGTTGTAAGGCATCCTCAGGCGCACCGCGCAACACCGGACCGAAGTGACCGGTACATTACAACACGTTACGACAGACCAAGTGGAAACTCAGATCAACAGTAACAAAGGTGCATAATTATATACCAAGGTATACGGACTGTGGTACGGGGTCCACAATAAATACCCGTTTGATTGTGTATTTTTAATCGACCATGTTCAACATCGAGTGACACTAGATGAGCATTTTTCGGTTTCGGGAAAGGTACATGGCATTTAAGCAGTTTTTGCGCATTCATGGAGTGCTACACTTACAATAATTGTGGTATCGGAAACGTATTTCGTCTTGCATTTAGTTATGATAATTTATTGTGTGTGATACATTTTGTTCTGTGATATTGCTTGTCTTAAGATTTCATCTTGTCAAAAATAAAAGAAATGTCATAATATGCCGTGTATTAGCGTATCTATCTGTAAATGTCCATTACAAAAAATGATACTCTGATAAAGATTAATATGAAAGATTAGAGAATATCCATGGTCTTCCAAGTAAAGCAACGACTTGTGTATGCCATTTGTGTTCAAACGTTTAATGCGACATAACTAGCGGGTTCTTACAAACGAAAACCAGTCTTGTATAATGTTTGATGAACAATTTGAATATAATTCATGCAATGTAGTCCAATATTAGTACATGTTTTTATCGTCTGCATATCTCATAGTGACCCTAGTTTTCAGGCTATAGGGACTTATTTACAAAATTGTTCTTAATTTCGGCATATGAAATATATCATGGACCTATATAACAAATAAACATGCTCATACCAACACAAGTCACATGCAAGCAGTGAATTGAAAATAGAATGCATGTCTCGTGGCAATACCAATGTGTGTTCAGACCATGCAGACGTTCTTTGCATATTGTATACATTTAGACAAGAGCTGTCAGGAGCACAGCGCAACTATTCTCAGGACTTGATAGTATAACAAGTGACTGGATAATGTCGGATTTAACAAAGGACAACTTCATTCATGATACTTGACATAGTTACGATCTTGGATAATTATTGTAGACTTGTAAGAGTTAGGACTTTGTTAATATGACCCTCAATGATAATACCCAGAGATATTAATTTAAAGGTATGAACCCCCCCCCCCCCCCCAAAAAAAAAAAAGAGCTGTCAGTAGGACAGGAACGCTCGACTATTTTTAGTGCTTGATAGTAAAAGAGCTAATAATCATATGTCACCCTTTTAAGTTTTAGTATGCACCATTTGATAAGGAAGTACAGAAGCATCTCATATTGATTTTATTCACACACACTTTCGGTATGGAGCTCCTAACATCTAAAATTATAATAGTTTCGAACAGTTTAAATTAAGTTATTTCAAACAGTTTAAATTAAGTTTTATTGATCTATATGATCAGTATATGTGTAGGGATAGACAAATATACAATTTATTTGGATTTTAAGGCATTTGGAGCTCCACTTTCAAAGTGTATGTGACATTGTTCAGTAAGGATTAATCAGAAGTTAACGATATTTAAGATAATACACAAATAATTTAGGATTTTCATACTCCCTGTTGCATCTATTTATCACCTTTTAACGACTGAAGTAAAACAAAACATTAACAACTATATATTAATTCAGCAATCATTTAATTCCTGCATCAATATAACAGGCATAAATAGTCTATTCCTTTAATTCAGCTTTAATATGTTGAAACAAAAAGGTGAAAAAGTAAGAAGATGCTTAATACAAAATGAAAAAAAAGTAAACTTCAGTCCGACAGTTTAGAAATTCCAACAATTTTTGAAAAGAGTTTCTTGATATAATATATAAAAATATATATGAAAAAAAATCAGAAAGAGATAATTAAGAATTTGATATAGACATGAAGTACCATAACATACAAGAAAATAATACTACAAAATTTATTTTCCTATGTAATGTTAAACACATCAATGCATTTCCCTAGCAAAGAAACTTTTTTGTCACTGATTTCTATTTTAATGATATCAACTCTGCTATCTTAAAAATGTGTTCAAAAATGATACATATGTAATTTACAAATTAGGAAAACCTGGCAAGATATTAAATGCTTCTGATACATGATAAATTTTGTTCAAATATCATCTTTGTAACACAAAAGAAACTTGTTAAGATTGGCAGAGTCTACAATGTTTTACAAACTTTCCTCATTTATTATGCAATAACACAAAACATACATTCCTAAACTCTCAAAGTTTCAATTAAAAAAAAAATTGTAACAGAATTTTGTAGCACAATTTCTTTAGAACCTTCAGGGTATATAATGCATATATAATTCTCTTCCATTGAAAGACTTATTGATGTTATAAATTGTCTCTCATGATTCCCATTTCTTAAATTCCATTCCATCAGGTGGTTTTACCTCCACCTTTTTAGCTCCAATCTCCGACCAGTTTGTACTCAGCACAGTGCCTCCAGACTCGTACTGAAAAAGAGAAATAAAAATATGTAAGATTCTTGGTTTTACTCAATTATTTTAATATATGACTCTTATGGCATCTATAAAAAACATAGTTATGAATTCTTTAAAATCTTGTTAACCTAAACCATTCTCAAAACTCTTTACTTCATAGTACCTTACAAATGTACATGTATATTCAACGACTGTATGTATGCTCATACAGAAAATCAGAAGTCCTGTATTTTTCTGTATATTTGCATTTGTAATTGTATAACTAGTGGCCTAAATTTAACAATTTGATTTATAGCAATTGACAATTTTTTTCATTTTTTCAAAATTCTTTGGCATAAAACGATAAATTTCATATCAGCTTAAAGGAAAAAAATAATTTCCGTCGAATGCTGTAGAATTTAAGATATTTTGTACACCTATGGCGTTGTGATACCCATAACAGTTGCCAAGGGTAGGCAACGATGTCATGTTCAAAAACGGGCTTTGATTGTCAACTTTGACATCGTGTGTACAAAAATTGGTGGAACTATTGGAATAAAATCAACAGAATCTAATCAGAAATATGGTCAACTTTTTACATGCCAATTTTCAAGACGCTACTCAAAAGTTCGCAAAGTCTCACGTTCTACCTTAAACAAATATTCTGTCCTAAGTCCAAGGACTTGCGATCAACTTTAAGACTGTCTTTAGACGGTTAATAAATAATTTTATCTTTAGTCAAAGACTTAGAATTCAATTAACTTTATTCTTGTGAAAAAAGATAAGAAACACAATGACATGCTGTTTAATCCCCAGTGTGTTGATGTTTATCTGTACCGCTATTCAGAAATTTGAAGGAGTCTAAACATAGGGAGACATAAATTAGGACATTGTCTTATCTCAGTATTGGTCTTAAGACTGATTTTAGACTAAGGAGTTTCTATGACATGATGCAACTTGTTTCTTTAAAGACTTACGAATGATTTTGCCATGGCTTTTTTGGTTTCATCTGTCCCATCGGCATATATTTTTTGGAAGAGTTCATTAAGCGCAGCATCGCCCTCTTTTTTCTCATTCTCCTCTTCCTTCTCGACATCCTTCGCGAGTTTGTCCCAGTTCCTAGTATAGTGACTTGATGACGGATATTCCTTCACATGCTCTGTAAAACAAATATACAATTCTTAACCTGCAGAATTTTAGTAATGGACTTGACTATCTTTGAATTTGGGACTTTCCATTCAGAGTTTAAGGGATTTCAATATTAAAACAGGTAACAATTCTATACAACCTGGTCAGACTGCATGACCGTAAAAACGTACATGTGAACTTTTTTTGATGATCAAGTGGGAGATTTTACTTCAAAAAGAGGGAGATTTTAGAATTTGCAATAATCAAAGAAGGAAGTTCTGACATCAAAAATAGTAAGATTTCTTTTTGTGAAAATACCCCTTATTTTAAGAAAAATCTTTGAAAATATGGCTGCAGAAAGTGGGAGGCTCCAGCTAAAAGTGGAGTGTTCACATGTATGTGAAAAGCCAGCTGGGTCTATACTGGTGACAAGGATTAATCACTCTAGGTCAGGAATCATTTCTGATACATAACAGAGAATTCCTTACAGAGTCTATTAGCAATATACTACAAGATAAAACAAGAATGTCGAACGACACATATACCCCCCTTTCTAGCCATTGACTCACATAATTGGTAATTTTATTACAGAAACTTGCCAAAAATGGGTACATGGAAGTGTTCAATTATGGAAAAATCAACGAAGACCATTTTGACATTTAAGGCCCCTGTGACCTTGAACTTTGACCTACTGACCCCAAAATCAATAGGGGTTATCTACTAGTTATGACCAATCACTATGTGAAATATGAAGACTTTGTGATACACACTTTTCAAGATAATCAGCGGAAACCGTTTTGACATTTAAGGCCCCTGTGACCTTGACCTTTGACCTAGTGACCCCAAAATCAATAGGGGTCATCTACTTGTGATGACCAATCACTATGTGAAATATGAAGACTTTGTGATACATACTTTTCAAGATAATCAGCGAAAACCATTTTGATATTTAAGGCCCCATGTGACCTTGACCTTTGACCTAGTGAGCCCCACAATCAAAAGGGGTCATCTACTAGTGATGACCAATCACTATGTGAAATATGAAGACTTTGTGATACATACTTTTCAAGATAATCAGCGGAAATTATTTTGATATTTAAGGCCCCTGTGACCTTGACCTTTGACCTTGTGACCCAAAAATCAATAGGGGTCGTCTACTTGTAATGACCAATCACTATGTGAAATATGAAGACTTTGTGATACATACTTTTCAAGATAATCAGCGGAAACCATGTGGTCTACCGACGGACAGACCGACAGACAGACAGACAGACAGACCGACATTAGCAAAACAATATACCCCCTCTTCTTCGAAGGGGGGCATAATTAAAATGAAAGTACTGTCTAAAACTGCTGGACTTAGTTATGACCAGGAAATCTTATTCAAATCTTTGTATGGAAAAATCCAGAACTCTTAAAATAATGAATGAAAAAGCTCAAAATTGAAAGAATAGACAGATCATTGTACAAAATAAGCTTTGAAAGTGTTAAAGAGCAACTTTTTGAGCTAAGTACAAAACTCAGACAATTTGGTATAACATTTGCATCTAC